TCGTTCAGTACCAAATCCAAAAAAGAGTAAAAACGTAAGTATATACACCCAAGTCTAAAAATTAAAATAAAAATTATACAGAATTTTCATTGCTAGCAACCACCACTTAAACAGCTCCTGTCATGCAACCAGCATACCCTCTTTTAAGAGCTTGGCAGTCAATGTTCTAGATATAGATGTCTAAATCAACTAATAAGGAGCTTACTATACCCAGTGAACCACTAACATACAGAAGATAAAATAAAACAAACAGAAGAAATTACAAAATGAAATTTGAGGTATTGCAACATGATGTTGTCAAAAACTAATGAAGTTAAACCATATCTACTTGATATATTAATGTGCAAGCTGAATCGTTGATTCTCAACAATACAATATGCAAAGGATCTTCGGAGGTGGTAGAGAGCAGGCGCTGAAAGGGAATGGAGAGTAGTGGTTTGGACCGAATCACCCATTCAAATAGCAGCAAATCGACGAAGGGATGAAAACCCAGTATTCCCCTGACAGTGGGCGCAAATGGTATGCGAATAACCGGGAACTCAGGATTCCAATCAAGAAAGTGATTTTATTACAACTCATAGTCTGCAAGTAAAGTCATACCGGTTTTGGCCACTTCAGGGGGGAGAGAATAGGTTGGTGATAGATTGAAAGAAAAGATGAACGCAGACGGATGAGTAAGATTGAATCAATGTAGAAGTAGTTTTTCGTTTATAGTATTTCAGTAAAAGATTAAGAGAGGAAACCTTTGCGGCTTACCTTGTTCATCAGTTCAACCTAGTCCGAAGAAAGAATAATTGACCCTGTGGACCTTCACCATAATCTCTTGGATTCGTTTCTACACTTCATGGTTGCTGTACAACGCATCTGAGTAGACGCAGACGAAAGTAAACAGTAATAAGACATGCGTTGTGCAAATCAACAAAGTACAACACAGACAATCTAAACCAAAAGGAGAGATCTAAACCATAAGAAAATCTACTAATCCATGAAAAGGAAGAGAAAGAGAACCGATAGGCAAAAGAACACGGCACAACTACCAGTATAAATATCCAACCCTGAACTGAAGAGCATGTTCCGATAATCGAAGCATGTCGAGCCGAAAACAAAAACAATATAGCATCTCGAACGATATAAAGGAAAAAATATAAACCGGAACTGAACGGTTTCCCAATACTGCTATTGTTAGTTGTATACTTAGTCCTAGATTCCATTTCAGGCCGAAGAAAAAGCGATGATTTATGATTTATAGCAAACAAAATCCAAAACATCAATGAACATCGTAGACCATAAATGATTTATGATGGAATAAAGGAATGTAAGTTCTCGTGTGAGTGGTGTAAGATACCACCACAAGTTTAACAACAACACCTCATAACATGAAAAGCAAACAACTGGACGTGTAAATTAGAGTAACCTACTCATGACATGAAACATGATGAGAATTGACAATAGAAAATGCACCAGAGCTTGCTGCTACCTAATTCCATCATATGATGGAGAAAGTGGAATTGAAATTTTACTTATTAAACAAAAAGTGTGACTTCACCTTAGCAGGAAGCAACTTCCTTCCCCAAACTCCTCTTTAAGGCCTGCTCCTTTACTGTGGCAAGAAGAAACAGAGAAAAGGGGGAAAAAAGATCTTAATAAGTAAAAAAAATGAACTCAATAACACAAAGAACAACATCATCCATGATGAAACAATGACTGCAATTGAACAAAATTACTTGTTAGTATCTATAGTTTTCAGAATGCACCCTATGAACAGGAAAATGCATATGTAAAGCAGATGTAAGTTTGTATTAGCTAAAGCGAAACTTCATGACACTTACAGATTGCTGCAGAACTATAAGGTGATCTTGCATCTAAAAAAAACGAATCCATATATTGTCAAGAAAAATAAACTCAGTGTTGTTTTCTCCGATTCATTCATGAAGCAAGGCTTTTTACTAAATTCTGAAATAATTCGAAACACTCAATAAAACCATTTTACGATGAAAAATTGTAGGTCAAGTGATGAAAGATTGAGAAAAATAACTACTGTACCCAGTTGCTTCAGCCATCAAACCATCATAATCACCACTGTGGTATACCACAAGTCCAAGCTGGTTCACAAATAAGCTGACATGAATAAACTCAAAAACCACATAAACATACTAATTAAACCCAAATATAATTCCTTCCTACCACAACGTTATGGCAGAGGTAAGGGAGAGCTTCACAAACCTACCAAGCGACCTGAAAGCCTTCCATGAAAACCCAGTCCCAGCTTTAGAGATATAAGCAGAAACCATATTAATCTTGAACCAACATAAAAAAGAAGTTACCTTGCACTCAGTAAGTGAGATTTGGGGGGACATGCAGCAAAATGAACAGATTTGTGGTTGAGAACCAAAAAAGTAAGCGAGTCGGGGATAAGAGCAAATTGGATTGGGAGCAAGGTCTGCAGAGGGTCTTTGAAAATGATCGCTGTAGAATCATCGCGGACAATCCACCTATGGGCATGCTTGCTGCCGACGTGGTTTCGAGGCCGATGAATTCATTGAGAAAACCAGCTGTCTTAGTTTTTTTCCATCAAATAGCATTCTGAGATGCCAGAGAAATAAAGAGACAGGATGAGAGTTGGAACACAAAATCAATCATCTAACCAATCAAAACAAACTCCATGGCATAAATTAAAACCCAAAAAAAGAATACAATCAAAATCAACGGCAGTCCAAAAACTAAAAACCTTAAAAAGAACCAAAGAACAAACACAATCAGAACCAACTGCATATCAAAAACGAAAACCCAAAACCCCAAAAGAACCAAAGAATAAGTACAAATAGAGTGTAGTGTAAAAACTGAACATGTTACAACCAGCAATTTACCGTCTACAGTGTCGGTGGGTCGTCCAACTCTCCATGGATCGATTCATAGGCGGTAGGGCACAATCACACTTCCCATCATAGAGTAACCCAACTCACATTTTCCTTTGCTGCTTCCCTCTTCTCCTGCGGTCGGCAGCAAGCAAAATAGGCCAAACAATAACATCACTAAAGCTTGATCAGCCGAAAGGAACATAAATGAAAGTACAACAATGAAATACGCAAAGAACAACACCTAACCTAAAACTGGAACGACAAAAGGCTCGATTTCCAGATGGTCTAAAAAACTTCAGCAGATATGGGTACTCCACATCGCCTCCCATTCATACTTCCCTCCAACAGAGAGAGCTCTTTCATTGAGAGTGGACGAATAAACCCCCCTGGAAAAGGAAGAATGAGAACTAAAACATGAAAGAAAAGAGAGTAAACAAACTAATCGGAGAAAGAAACCCATCACCTGATATCCAAACCCGGCACCACCGCTAAACCTCCCAAATCAAGCGGTTGTAAACCTCTCAAATCCTGCGTCACTGTCGACGATCACAACCGCTTCTTCCAGCCTCGTCGTCGGACCGCAGGCACCGCAACACCACCAGACCACCGTCGCACCTCCACCCATCACCGGTGACGGACCACAACCCACGCACCAGCGCAGCCCAACCACCGTCGCTCAGCTCAAACGCCGCCACTCGCCTCGTCCCCATCGTCGCTGACGGACCACCAGTCATGCACCACCGCCGCTGCATCTGAGCGTCACGTCCCTATCGCCGATCCGCACCCAACTTTGACCCTACTATCCTTCATCTTGATGAGGTCCACTCTTCCTCCTCATCTTCTTCTCTGGATTCTTTGACACTATTTCCTTCTTCTCCAGCCGAGAAAGGAAAGGAGGGTGGGTGGGTGGGTGGAATGAGAGAGATGCTTGATAAAAGGAGCTGATTTTGTGTGGCTAGGAAGAGTGGAAGAGGAAAAGGCAACAAAAAAAGGAGCTGATTTTTGTTTAATTACGGAAATGATCATCCCTTACTTAGAATCTCAAGGTTTGGTTAATTACGAAATAGTACCTAGTGTGATGTGACTCTATGAAACAGTAAACTCAAGGATAAGAGAGAAAGTGTTGAAAGTGACAGGACCAACTACAAAACGTAAAGCCAATTGAGAAATGATGAGAACAAGGAAAAAGCAAAAAGTAACAGTGGCGGGATGTGACTCTACCAAACAGTAAACTTGTAACTTGTTCTTTTAAAGAGATAATTATGCATATGAAAGTTAAAAAGTTATAACCTAAAAGTATTTAAAATTCAACTCGTGTATTTGTGGCATCTGAACAAGTAATTTGACATCTTAAAATTTGAGTCCTAAATAATATTTCAAATGTATTTGATGCATGTATTTGCACAATTTAGATTGAAATATTTCCATTTGAAATACATGTAATCCGAACCATATTATTTGAATATTCATTTAAAACTCTTGAATATTTTTCTTTTTTTGAATTTGGTGTTTTTTTGGCCAAACTTTAACATTATCGGGAAATTATCTTTTTAGACCTAAATGTATTCTTTTCTTAAAATTTAGAATCTAAGCTTTAATATTTTGCAAGCAGGTCCAAAAATGTTAGTGGTAAGATTTATGTTTCAATACCTATTACTTTTTCCTTTAGTTGTAATTCCTCAACTTTTAATGGTTTACACAATGGTTCTACCTGATGCTATGAGGAATTCCAAAATCACTACCTCGCTAAAATAAGAAATTGAAAGACTCCATTGAAACGGTTGGTTCGGAAATTTTTTGAAAACCAATCATAGATTCTTCACTCCATAAGAAGAATATGATCGTTGTACTCATTATTAGACTTGTGAAAGAGATAAAATAAAATCAAAGTATATCTTTTTGACTCGAGGTTCAATTGGTCAACAAAAGAAAAATTATGCCAAAAATTAGAAAGTGAAATTTTCATCTTGTACATGGTATATCATGAATTAGTACGATGAGTATTTGAATCGCAAATATTTACACTAAATATATATTTGAAATTCACCTAATATATTTGAACAATTTCAAATATCATATCTATTAGTCCCAAATAAATATTTAATATTTAAAATTCAAAATTCCTATGCGCCTAGAGGATAACTAAACACCAAGGAAGAAAATCAGGTAATTCTGTTTTACCTCCCTCTTAAAAGAAGCGTCTTTGACTCTCTCGATCTCTCCCACTAGCAAAAATTCAGTAGTCTGACTCGCGGCAGCCAATCGTTCGACTCATTCAGCAACCGCCGATGAGCTGAATCGAGCGGCGGGTCCGACTCCCGGTGACGCCGCCGATCATGCCAGGACCCGGTGCCCACCTCATGTACGCCATGGCGTCCGGTGTGGGACTAACAACCCTCACCGGCGGCCGGTTCACTCCACACCACACCTTAACCTACACCATCAACGCCTTCTTCGGTCCGGACATCGGCTCTTTCTCCGACTGGCTTTCTTCATTCTTCGCTTCATCCTCCTTTGTCTCCCGCCTCGCCGACTCTATCCACCACCCTCTTTATTACATCCTAATTTTGGGGATTCCCTTCTCCTTTTTCTACTCCTGGCTCTCCAATATCTTGCTCCGCCGCAAGCTCCTTGATTCCGCTTCTGGGGTGAGCAGTTTTGGCTTTTAAACTTCGATCCATGTTGTCAGTCGCTGTAATTAATTCGGGGATCTATGTTTAATGTTACCCTTTCTACCATTTTGGGGGTTTTGGTGTTATTTGTGGTAATGGGTACAGGTGGGGTTTTTTGCTGGATCTGGCTGCTGTTGAATTCAACTACTTGCCTAATTGGGGGATGGGTTTACATGTTTACTGCAAAAAGCAATCATCTTTACTCGTTTGAGGCGCAATTTCTGTCAGTTGGTAGGAGAATTTGGGGGATTTTAAATGTGGGTATTCATGAGGGAGTTTTGGGTGTGCTCTGCAGGTTCCTCTGTCAAGGAAGCAATGCTTGTATTTGATATCTGCTGGATCATTGTCGCACTTTTTCTTAGACCACTTATTCGAGGTCTGAAGATTATTACTCTCCTTCTCTGCTCAACTCACTTTAGTCATTACAAACCGTTTGTTGTTTGCGACATGATCACATTGCCTTTCTGTGATTGAATTGGTTGGCAAGTGCAATATGTTGATTGTTTGTTTCTATCCATGGAAATCGTATACATTGGAGTTCAGTCTTTAACCGTTGTTGCTGGTTCGAAGTTTGCATGTTTTCCCTTATCTAGCTAGCAACAGAAATGCTTACTGTAACCCCTAGGTTCCCTTATGTGCTGCTGTACTGGAAAATGGGCAGGAAAATGGACATTCCTCGATGTACACTTGGATATTAAGCACTGGTTGGTGGGAAAATCGGGCACCAATCAATCCAGATGCTGTTCTTTTTACTGGATTTCTGTGCACTAGCTTAATCCTTGGTTTTGTTTATGTCAACAGGTATGCTCTATTCTCTACTACTGATACTGTCCATGTTTCACTCCATTATACTAATCTGGTAGTCATTTGCAATGCTTGGACTATGGCTTTCTGCATTTTTCAGGGTTAAGCCTATGAAGTCCCTTAAAAACCAGACGTACCAGTCTTACCAACTTGTTGTGGGGATAGCTATCTGTTATTGCCTGTGGTGTGCTAGCCAGATTTACTGGGTGAAGCCTCGCCGTCCGGCCATTGGTGAAGAGGCTGATCTTGGAGTCATCATCTTTCTGGCTGTCTATTTCTTTCTCCCTCATTTCTTCTGTTCTTTGTCCTTGAACCCTAGAGATCATCAACCTCAGCAACTTCCACTGTAATACAATGTACACTTGTTCAAGATGTAGTAGTGTATACCTGGTTATGATAGGGGGGAAAGTATGCAGTTTATCCATTTTTGGCAACTTCAACTTTGGAGGCTCCATCCCTATATAGAGCGGCTCCATTTCAAAGTCAATCCGGTTGTTTTTTAGACATACAAACATTACGAACATGGTGGATAAAAATGACAAACTAAATCGACGAAACATACAAACTGGAAAAATACCCGGTTGATTTTGGAAGCTTCATCCCTATATAGAGGAGTTCCATCCAAAAGTCAACCAGATTGTTTTTAGACATAAAAAACATTACAAACATGGTGCACAAAAATAACAAAAATTACAAAAGTAACCGACAAACATTACAAAATAACAAAGCTTACAAACATTACAAAAAGAACTGACAAACATTACAAATTACAATATATACAAAATAGTCCTATAAAGATTACAAACATAATAGATAAAAATGACAAACAAGAATAATAAACAATACAAAGTGAATTGATATAATCAATACAAACTGAACTTATAAACATTTAGGTTGTCAAACATCACGAATTCATCACGATTGCCGGAAAATAATCTACCACCGTCTATGATCGCCGGAAAACTCCACCGTCGCCGAAAAAGTTAAAAATGAATCTCTCTCTCTCCCTCCCTCCCTCCCTCCCTCGGAAAATCCCCAAGAAAGGAAGAAAATCCCCGAGAAAGGAAGAATGGGGATTCCGCATCCCAGGAAAGGAAGAATTGGTTCCCACGCAGGCCACGCCGTCGGAATGCACAGGGGCTGTCGGAAGAATGGGCAGAGGCTGCCGACAAAATTAATCTCGACGAGGGGTGGGAGATATCCACGCTGGGTGCTGCAATTTTTTTAATTGTTAAATAAATAAAATATGTAATTACCATCTTATCCTTCATTAAACTGGATAAATTAGGATCATTAAATTTTAATAAGGTTGATTGACCGAGCTTGACTTAGTCATGTGACTAAGAGACCCCCCTTAGTCACCTGATCTTAGCCCTCTTAAAGGGTGCACATGGTGTTGGTGATTATTATTAATTAATTAATTAATTAGGTGTTTTAATATGTTTGTTGTAATTCTTTCAGCCGACGAAATTCATTTTGCTGGAAATTTTTTCCATTCATTGCTCAACGTCTTACAAAACAATAGGGTTAATTGCATGGTTGGTCACTGAGATTACAAAAAACGTTCAAGTTTGGTCATTCGAAATATTTAAATTCATTGGTGGTACTTCAATTTACTGAAACCGTTCACGTTTGGTCACTCTCCGTCCAACTCCGTTAACTTTTGCTTATTTAAATGTGTGACATGGCAATTTAAAAATAATTAAATATATTTTAAAAAAATTGCCATCTCATTTTCCACCTCATTATCTCTTTTATCTAAAATAAATAAACAGATATAATTTCTTCTAATCTCTAATACCAGCAGCCCGAACCCGATTGCCTGTGACAGCGAACACGAAGAAAGAAGGTGGTTCGGTCAGATATGACCGAAAAAGCTTTTACCACAGTTTTTTTTTTTTTTTTTACAATGAAACATCTTCTATCATACCTAACCAGACCAGCAGACGCAATACAACAGGGGCGAAATCAAAATTGCAATGACAATCCAATCCTGTGGTAAGAGATCAAGTCGAGCATTCCTAGCGACCCAATCCGCAAGAAAATTAAATCGCCGAGGAACGAAGGACAACTTAATCCAAGGAGTCCCCTGAAGAAGAGACACAATCCGGGCCAGGGTCACACGACATTGCCAAGGCCAATCGCAGCGATCTTGATTAAGAGCCACAACCAAACGTTGGCAGTCGTTTTTGATACACGTCGGACAGGACTCTTGGGCCGCCAACACCACAACACCCAAAATAGCAAATGCTTCTGCCTGAATCGGGTAGGAACAATAGAATCTCTGAGTCTTGCCGTCAATCACCTGACCGTGGGCATCAGCAATGGTAATCCCACAAGCCGCCAACTGAGACTCCGAAACAAAGGAGCCGTCACAGTGCACAATTCGTTCAAAAGAGCCAGGCGGTGGTGAGGGGTTTCGACGGGATCCCCTAGGCTGAGAAGGACAACTAGCTGATCTCAGGATCGAGGACAGTGAGGTTGTCTCTCGAGCTTCGTTGATGTTCATGAATTCACGATTAGCCGCCTTTACCACAGTTGAGAATATATAAAAAAAGGGATAATTTTGGGTTTATATGAAAATATGGAGAACAATATGGAATAAAAAACACAATTCCATGGTATTTTCACAAATACTGGCCCCTCCCTCTAATATTTGTAGAATTACAAAAACATTATCATGTTTTTTTCCCCCTCCAACCAACATAGCATTTCAACACAAATCCCACGTGATGTAAGAATTGGGAGCGGATATGGGGCAAAATCCCGACCTGCAAAATCCTACAAAACTCGAGTGTGTGTCGTATTATTGTTTTGCAGGCCGCAATTTTGTATTGGAATCCAACTCCAGGTCATAGGAAATTAAGGAAAAATAATACATTTTGGTAATTTTCTTCTATGAGGGGTCGAGAAATTGTGCAGAGAAGTCAACTTCTTTTTTTTTTTTTTTTTTGACGAAAATCTGCACTTGCTATATTAATCAGTTGAAGCGGTTACACTATCCAGCTGGAGCTGATTAACAAGATAATTCGGTGGCCTATCAAACCACACCAAGCTCTCGTTCCACCTCGACTCTGCATGAGCCATAATATGTGCTGCCTCATTAGCTTCTCTACAGATATGCCGCCATCTTCCATTGCCTATGTCGCTCAACAACCTCCTGATACTCCGACACAACACCCCGACCTCATTCTGTTCCATACTCGGATGCTGCAACTTATGAACCAAAACTTTGCAATCCGTCTCCAGAACTACATCATGCAAATCGTGTTGGAGGGCCAACTTCTTTTTCTTCTATGAGGGGTCGAGAAATTGTGCAGAGAAGTCAACTTCTTTTTAATTGCATTTCTAGTTTTCTACCAAAAAAAAAACTGTTTAATTGCAGGGCATACCAATTCAATAACTTCAATCAATTTGACAACCTTAGACACAACCCATTGCATACATCAAACTTCAGATAACACTAGAATACTCAACTTGTGTCAGAGACTTTCCCCACCGCCATCAATACAGACTATCGTCCAAATTTACACGCCTGTTTGAGAAGCAAACACGGTAATTAACGAAACACGTTTCTCAGAAACACGGTAACTTACTAGCCTGCACAGCAAAAGTTCACCAGCCATATCACTAATCCTCATACAGATAGGGCTTAGATATTACATCCACTTATTCGAAAAGGGTTTCTCAGGAAGAAGTTCACATACACTTACAACAACAAGCACGGCTAATCTCTCAATATCAAGCAATCGCAAACCTTACTGAAAAATGCTCAGCTTCCAATCGCCCAGTCAGCCAATGATGTGATGTAACATTATTATCCAGAGCGACACAAGTCAAACCATTGCCATGCATTCATTCCCAACCAGTCTCTCGCTCAAACGCATTGATCGCGCACTAAGCATCTGATACACCGCGATTAGCCTTGCCGAGTTGCTTCACCAAATCCTTGGCAGTGTCAATCCCTGCAAGATAAGCCCCTGTAACCCACCCAAAGTAGTTCTTGTGGATGTGCTCGCCGGTGAAGTAAATGGGACCAACTGAAGCCTGTGTACATTACATTTACAATCCACAATTAGAGGGAGTAAAGGACATCAGAATTCGCAACATTTCCATTATCTGAAAGGTTAGTCCAATTCAGGGTTTGTCTAAAGCTCACCCCGAGTTTGTTATGGCGTTCTTGGCTATAGCCATGGGGCCAGTTCGAATGGCTTCCCTTGAAGAACCTGTCTGACCACCACCTGTGTGTCAGCATGCTCTCAGGCTCCGGGATGTGCTCGCCAAACATGTTTCTCAGCACGTCCATTGCCTCGGCCTGAATCTCTTCATCTGATAGTTGCTCCATCCGCTTGGCCTCGTTGTATGTTACCGTCACCATCAGCATGTTTGATCCTGGATACTCGTTCTCTAGATGCTGTATGTAACAGTACCAAAAACCGACACCATTAGCATTCGTTGTACGAACTTGGTGATGGAAGCATTTTTCCAATGTGAGTGTGGTTTAAGACGAGCATGTACCTGCCAAACTGGATAGTAACCACGCTGGGTATGGGTGTAGAGGGAGAACTCCGTTCCCGGCCCAGTTGGCCAGAACTTGTAAGGAAATTTCAGGAATATCTTCGAGTAGACTGCCATGCTGAAGTCGGCTATCGCAAGTCTCTTCCACATCTGGAAAGAGAGCACGTAAACTGATTGATTCATAAAGTAGGTTGCCTGATAAAAAACGAGCATAAATGGAAGAGAGCCATCTTGAAGAAAATAAAACTCACAGGCAGCTTTGGCTTGAATTCAATGAGGTCACTCTGTAGCACTCCGATGCTTGCAGAAACAATGACGAACTTTGCTTGATAACTCGACCCATCTTCAGTCTTGACTTCCACTCCACTATCTGTGTAGCTGATTTCTCTCACCACCTGAAAAAATCATGTATAGCAAAGACAGACAAAGAATCCCATGTTAAATATTCGCAGAGGACACATATCAGCAATTTGATGGAACGTGAAACTTACAATCAAAAGAAAGAACCCTATTCCCCATCCAAAGTAATGATCTTGTAAACCATTTCAATCCAAAATTGCTAAATGTCGCAACAATGTAAGGAATTCAGAAACTTACTATCAACCGAATTCTCCAAAACATGGAATGGACAAGTGAAAACATCATCATCAACAGTGGATTAGCCAATACAAATTTGGGGTTCATAGCATATGGGCCACAAACAATTCAAACGATTGTCCTTCCACTTCCACTGCAGCAATGACTAAGCAACCGTATCTAACATGTTACCTTGTTGAACTGGAGGCGGGGATCGTTAGTGAGGGAGGAAAGGAATTGCTTCCCGAGGTACTGAGGCACAACCTCATAGCCTCTGGGATCCGCCACAAAGTGAGCCACAGGGCCGTGGTCAATACCTTCCCTTCTGGGATAAACGTTCTTCAAGCTCGTCACTTGCGGCGGCTCTCCATCTGCTAGTTCATCGTTCAAGTAATCTACCGCCCTTTCCAATGGAGTCGACGGAAGCCTGCAACCCCAAAACACCCACCACAGTCAATCAAACAAACAAATAACCCCATTAACTATTGCTGGCTACTGCATTATCGTCCAAAACCACCACCCAAAACCCTTACTTTCCCAACAAGCGGTGAGCCGCCAAAATGGAGATATCATCCTCATCAACCGCGTCCGAATTCAGGGTCTCACTGAAGTCGTTGCAGAAATTAGTCCTCCCAACCGATGCATTGTGAGCTTCTTCAACGATTTCCTTTGGGTACAACCCCCCTCTAATAACACAACGAATTCGCAATTTCAAGCAGAGACGAATTAAGAACTGGGATTTGGGGAATTTGGGGGAGTGAAGCTTCTTTTTTCCCCCCTACTGGTTAGGGTTACCGTTGTTTGTAGGTGTTGGCGGTGATGTTGCCCGTGTCAGTGACGGTGTATCTGAGATTCAACTTGCTGGCGATTTCCAGCACGGGATTGGTAACAGGGCCGCCGCCTTGGTACCAGTTCGCACCGAGCTCCACCGTGTTGCCGCCGATCTCCGCCTTCCTCATCCGCCCGCCGACCTTCGACGTCGCTTCCAGGATTAGAATGTCTGTTATCCCGGCATCGTGAAGAGTCTTCGCCGCCGAAATTCCTGAATGGCGGGAAAGAAAAAAGAAGAAATTCAAACTGGGTCAGCGCATTACTTTGGAAAATGATAAAAATGGCAAGTGGGGAAAAGGGTTTCCGATTTTGGGGTTCGGCGGCGGCACCTGACATTCCGGCTCCGACGATGATGACGGTGGGGGACTGTGACGCCGGAGCAGTTGCTGAGACGGATAACAAGTGGGGAAGTAGGAAGAGTAGGAGGGTTATCGACGGAAGTGTAGGAGTCGTCATTGTTGTTTTGTGATTCCGGCTGCAGTTTCCCTCGCCGGAGCTAGTTGAGCAGTGAGAGTGAATGATTTTGTTTTTTGCGGGTATGTACTACTTATTGGGAACTGGAAAGTGCTGGACGATTGGTTGGTTCAATGGTTCGGTTAGGCGGGTAATAATTCTGGGCCTGGGCCTGGAGATGGGCCGCCCGTCAATGCTGACGATGAGAGTGGTGGTCCGATTTCCAGGTGGGCCATCTGATGGGGACATGGTTCTGGTGGAGACGATCCGCTGAATCGCATCACGTGGATGATGGATCGATCGCATATCTCGAATAATATTTTCTTTGTGTAATATAATGATAAATATAATATAAAATACGATTAAAGGACAGTTTAATCTGTAAATTAGCAGCTTTGGCTTTGCCAACGACGGGCCAACTAAGCTTGATCATTAATGCATTCTGTACTGCAGCCAAAAAGGAAAAATGAAGCCCAATATTTATGCATATTTGCCCATATTTTGCCACGTGACATTTTGCTCTAACACAACCACCAAAGAATAAAGGTAGATCTGCTATGTATTTTAAATTTTGTTGCATCTCAATTTTCTTTTTCTGATCTTGTAAGTTGTAACCAGGAAAATCAGTTCATACAGATATATATCTGATTTTGAAAAATACGATTATGATAAAACCATAACAAAAAAGATATGTGAGTTGATACGATATGCTCTTAGCATCAATTTTTATATGTCTATTATTCTAAGAAAATCTGTCAGTAACAACCGACATGATTGTGAGATTAAATACACGGTAAATTTTTGTGCTTCATACCAATGATTAAATCCAAAACTCTCCCCTAGTCGCCGTGGCATTCCCGGTTAGTTAGGTATAGCCATCCGGCCAGTTCACGGCGGCAGGCTCGCCGACGGTTGACCGAGAATTATTGCGGGTGGGCCGAATGGGGCTGGGCTTTGGGCTGCCCACCATCCAATATTGAAGTTGGCGTTTTGTCGACATAAAAAACGGCCCGCTTATTTGTTCTAGAGTGGGTTTTATGAGTGATATGCAACAAATAGTTATTGTCCAGCATGATTTAGAGGTGAGTTAGGATTATGTAGTGATTGTATTTGTGTGTAATTAGATAATGAAGTGCATTTAATGACTCCGATTCGACGAAAAAAACACATTACCGCCATCTTGTCAAATACCCTACTACTAATACAAAAAAAAATATATATCGTAAATCTTTTTAACTTTACTTTGTAGAAAAACTTATACGAACATACCCGTTATTTCTGTAGGATTTGAAAATTTTCATACCCGGTAGTAAATCAAAGGGGTGGTTTGGTTTTGTTGATAATTGAATCGATGTATTGTCATCAATGCATGCATAATAATATATATGTATATAAGAAAATTGGTGTATTGTAGTTTACATTGTTTGGTTTTTGTGATAGTGATTGTAGTGTTTAAATAAATTATATTACTTTATGGGTGAAATGTCATTTGTACCCTTTGTTTTTAGTATAAAAAAGCAACACACATAAAAAGGTAAGGAGATAGTTGGAAGAAGAAAAAAAACACAACAATCTCAACCAAAACTTAAGATTTAAATATCACTCATTTTGAGTGATAGTTTGTATCACAACAAACAAACAATGCTTGTATTATTTGTTCATAAAATTAAAAAAAAAACGGTATATTATAAACATTACATACATTGTAACTATTCCAACCAAACGACCTCTAAAACAAGGCCAATACTACCGTGCCGCGGTAAAAAGTGCGGCACCGGTGACGTAATCTGTGATTGGGCCACGTGGACTGTGACTTGGCATAGTTGGTCTCATTTAATCTTAACCCAACCCATATGGCCCAGCAGAAACTGCCCAAACCGTCTGTCCCAAAGTAACGGAGACAATTTCCCGTTATCATGATTTATCTTTTATTTTTTACTAATAAATTAAACATGGAAATTCGGAGAGAAGAGAAAATAGGGATCGAGAAAACGAAGCAAAAGAGAACGTCCGCGATTGACCAAATGTTCCGACGAACTTCTCTTTGGACGATGCAATCTTCGATTTACCTCCACTAAATTCCGTCACCGCCACCGTCCTCCTCGGAATCTCATCTTCCTCTGATATTGCCCCTAATCGAGCTCCTCGAACCAAATTCTGTTTCTGCATCGGGTTTTCTGTTAATTTGGCTTTGATGGCCTGATGGGGTCGTATTGCCCAGTCCAAGGTTCTATCTCCTTGTATGTAATCACGATAGGGTTCGGCGAATTCGGCATCCCAGATCGACCATTAAAGGCGTAGAGCTCAATTTACATTTACGGCTCTCCTATGTTTCTGGGTTACAGTGGAGCGAAAATTTAATCGTGAGAATGAGAGCGTTGTTCTATGATTGTGATGCAGGTAGGCTTGCGTTGGCATCTTTTCCCAATTGGTTCCAATATATTCTGTCGATGTAAGATACGAATACTCTCTTGTAGTAGAAATGTAGAATGAATATGGTGGTAGTGAATCAATAGCGGTAGTACGCTTATGATTGGAGGCTAAAGGCTTATGCTTCTTCTGCATTGAGATATTAGAGCCATATTCTACATTTGCCATTTCATGCTTGAAATGCCAGCTTCTAGGGCCATGCATCCTCGTAACTTAGTTTGGTGTATTCACTGTATTGAAAAACTTTAGGAGAGTGATAAATTGGTACAGTCTAGTAACCGATAAGCTATAATGTTTCCATCTTTGATCAATAATTAGGGTGCTAGAGGTGCTTCCAGGGTCTTGTTATTTGTGTAGCATGTGGTTAGTCGAAGTTGTGCCCTTGTTGTTATCTGTACTGCTCGTTCTCTCAGTGTTCTCTCTTGTAGGCTCGAGGTTCTGCAAGAACTATATTTGCACGGGACTTAAGATACCAACAGCAACCAATTATCCTCTCAGGAATTGGTAGTTACTGCAGCTCAGTCATTATCCGTGGGTGATGGTTGGGAGGTTCAGTATGACTCCTATATTAAGTCTTTGCCCATTTCCACTTGGGGGCAGCTCAAGTTCCTTGACTCTTCAACAAGGTAAAACCTCCCTAATTGCTCGTGAATGAAAAACATCTCGTTAATTTGGGTTTGTTAACTAGGTGATGAAGTTCCTTCCATCAAGTAAGCACAATCATTCTTTTTTCCCCCGGAGGAGTACAGAAAACATAGAGCATGATTGCAGAGTTGGTTTGGTTAATTTGCGTGCTAAAACTACTAGTGTTCTTGGAAGAATGAGTCATAACTCCTTGTTCAGCTACAACAAGATACTCAAGGGCTTGATACGGAGTTCTGCTGGAATGGTACAGTTGTACAGGACCCTGAGATAGGCCAGGTTTGTATGGAACCTCTCCCTCCCTTTTAACTTACTTCTGTTTCAGCATCATATATTGCCTGACTGGAAAAGTTTGAATTTATGCGTGTGTTGCAGGTCATTAAGCTTCAGGGCTATAAGCTTGCAAGTCATTAGTTCATCTTCGGTCAACTTCAAATTGCAACACCAACCAGCATCACCAGAGAAACAAGAACAGATCAAGCACGACTTCAGTAGCAGCAATCAACAACAATGTTGTACTTACTCCATCCAGCTGTCCAACTATGCCAGAAGGAGGGTAATACATTGAGTAAAAATTTACTAGATTGAAACTGTAAATCAATATACACGGAACAAATCGAGTTTCAAGCTCTCAAGAAATCTCTATTTCCCCATTTTTTGAATGTCAACCCTCTTGAAATATGCCACTTCCGTGCAAGTGGGCAGATGATTCATTTTCAAAGGAATGAACTTTCCACTTGATCTCTTCTTGTTGTCCCTAATAATGGCTCAAAACATAAGAGGTTTTCTATGATTCTTTTAGCTAGCTAGATGCCATGAGCTTTGCTGAGGTTCTTGGAGAGACCAACACCGACTCATTGCTAGGTGAAGATTTCATGGCTGCAATATCTTCGAGGTGTTTCCATGAGGCTTCTCGTCTTGACTTGATCTCGTCCTATTGCGCTTCGTTTTCCTGGAACTTCAGCAAGCATTCTTTGAATAGCTCTAGGTCAGCGAGGAGAATATCTTCCGGATGCACAGCCTGGTTCCCAGGCGATGGGTTTTCCTATCCAATGAAGGAAAGATGATAGGCAATATGATCTTTCGGTTTTGTTTGATTAGGTTCTCCACATGATCATTGTTCCATAAGAATAAGGCCCTTTCTGCCACGTGCAAAAGGATGATAGTTTTCCGAGTAAAAGATAGATACCAATGAAATGCAAGCAAGGGTTACGAAAACAAAGAGCTAGCCAGAATCATGTAAATTTGTATCTGAAGTTGATGTCTAGTGTGATGTGTGCAAACTCTCTCCATTATTCCAATTCACTGCTGAGAGCACAATATGTACTACTGTCCTTTGCACAATATCTCTTTCTTCAGCTGTCATGGTTACCAAACCTGCAGGCAAACAGAAGTTTTAATAAAATCTCAAAATGAAGCTACATGATTCAGAACACATTTAATGGATCACCATTGGTTCATTCTAGCTACAAACGAAAAAGCCATTGATCCTAACAATATCCTCATTACCTCTGAGAAGTCACAAAGAAGTAAACTTATAAACATGGCTGCTGGCCTTTGCATTTCATGCGAAAATTATCACATCATATTTAACAAGGCTTCAACGACTCCCTTCAATAGTTCACTCAAGAATATGACATTTTAGCATTGCTCGTAACTGCCTATATTTCAGCAAACCCCTTATCACAGTATCACCAAGCTTGCAATCTTTCTCAACGAACCAAGTTATGCAGTATGACAAACTGCTAGTGGTACATCGGACAACACTTCGGTTTATGCAACGGAATAAGAGCTCCTACTAGAAACAACTTGTGCTCGTCTTTCAGAGGTAGTGCAAGAGCCCACTAATAAGAGATTGCAAACCCCTAGAGACCGAAAGAAAGCTTCATAATTATTCTCCCCAGTGAACGGTAACGATCGAGTCAGAATATATACCAACATATATATGATATATCCAAGCTCAACTAAGCTTTGCGAAGGAGACAATTGTGCAGTATCATCCCTTGCACATGGTCCTGTTGCAACCTAAACATAATCACCCACATGTTAGCTTAGAACTCCACGTCATGAAGAAAATCCATTCGTATACGCAACGCAAGTACACTTTCATAACTGGAGTGGCGACCACACAACACCTGAACATATGATAATTGCACAAACCTTAGGTCTGTTACAACGTCATCAGTCTCGTCTCGTGAAATAGCTCTCCTTTATATCTCTCTTTGACTGCCTGGAATTCAGCCACCAAACCCATGGATGATTTTTAACTGGATAAAAGGAATAATAGTAACAAAATGAAGATCAGAGAAAGCATAAACTCCCAAATCTTCTAAGGGAAAAGAATAGCAGTAGCCAAATAGATTTAAGTATGCAAAATCTGAGAATTACAGTGCAGCAACAACTGGAGAAAACGGGGTACATAAACTTGTATCGTTTTTTAGTTACTCATGGGCAAGATAGATGTGTTATAATCCTTATCTATGAAATCGGAGATTGCATCGTCCAAAGAGAAGTTCGTCGGAACATTTGGTCAATCGCGGACGTTCTCTTTTGCTTCGTTTTCTCGATCCCTATTTTCTCTTCTCTCCGAATTTCCATGTTTAATTTATTAGTAAAAAATAAAAGATAAATCATGATAACGGGGAATTGTCTCCGTTACTTTGGGGCTGACGGTTTAGGCAAGTTCTGCTGGGCCATATGGGTTGGGTTAAGATTAAATGAGGCCAGCCATGCCACGTCACAGTTCACGTGGCCCAATCACAGATTGCGTCACCGGTACCGCACTTTTTACAGCGGCACCGTAGTATTGGCCCTAAAACAAAAGCAAACATGTGTAACTTATGGGCCGCCGATAATGTTACATTGGACTGTTAAGTCTATGGGTTTGACTCGGATCGGCGTCAAGAATTTTGGGCCGTTACGCGGCGAAGGAATTTAGCCAGTTACTTACTGACCACCTTAATTAGGGCAGACTTCAAAGTTCAAACGTCGTTGGAGATTCAATTAGTTGACTTTCTTCTTTCATCAATCCTTGTTGAAAACCGTACGTCCTTTCTAACTCAAAACCAATGTGTGCACACGGAATATTTACTGAACAAGCATATACAATATTCGCGTATATATAGTTTGGTTTTTATGTATTCATCAACTAATCAAACATTCAAACCTCTATTTTCATATTTGAATGCAAGGTTGAACTGGAAAAATGAGTAATATAAAGTTTTGGTGATTAATCGTTTTAAAAGCCGAGTTGGTTAAGCGTTTATCCAATTGTTCATCTGGTAAAATGAAATACATATATAATACACTAAATTTAAGATTAGTTTTTCACTGCCCTTATCTGTATTATCAATCAGCACAGGATCTAACAAATCATTCAATCTCACAAAATAAATTATACGAAAATTTGATTAATTTCAAATTAGAAAATTCGGGTGAAAGTTGTTAGTTGATCGCCTTCGTAAAGTCGACATTAAAATAATGATTTTTTGAGTTTTTTTATTAAAATAATGAATTAGTGAACGAGCCAAACCAGAGCAATATTTTTATTTGATAACCCAGGAACATCAGCAACTCACATGCCACATGAGTGACAGCGGAGCCTACTAAACCTGGGGTACTTGCATACTAACCATCAAGGACTTTGTCCCGGCACAGTGCCTGGCGTTGTGCTACCATTATCGGAGAGACTTCGTCTCCTGTACCAAGGGTGCCTCCAGGAACACCAAGAAGGTGGTACTGGGATTCGAACCTGGGACCTTGTCACATCCCAAACTCGAAACCCAGCCCTTTTACCAACTAGGCTCTCTTACCATCGGCCAAACTAGAGCAATATTAGTTAGGTGTCCACCATTAAAAACTATTCGGACCATTGATGATTGTGCAAGCAAACAGGTCGAGAGCCGCTAATGTAATTGGTTAGCGGTTCTACCACCAATCTCTGGCTAATCATTTCGGTTTATTGGTTCTTATAACAAGGTAATCACGCATATTAATCTATATTCATACACCCAACTTAAATTATTTTTGGCGTAATTTCGCCAATCCCATCATCAATCACCCCACATTCCACGATAAATATCTCACTTATGCAATGAATTAATGATCTTAATCCTACAAAGAGCAATTTTCTTTCATTTTGATCATAGAAATAAAGTGGAACTTCTCTGCATCAAGCTTAATTTGATGCAAGTATATATGTATGATCTGGAAAATCACTTGTTTACTCTTATACGCACATCTAATTTCTCCTACATTTACAAAGTAAAAAAGCAAAGTTCAACGTACACCTGTTTTGATATATCTCCGAGTGCCAAACATCACATAGCATCATTTAACTTGAAAATGCCAGTAATTAATAAACCATTTCCTTCAATCTCTTGTACAACCTCGCAGTCTCTACACCAACTCTGGTTATCTTCACCTGACCAAACAAAATCAAACACCAGCAAACTAGTTAGTAGTTAGGGCATATAGGAAATTCGGTTCGATCCGGTACACTATACAATACCGTAAAAAAACGTGATTATGCATAGGAGCATTTTATTAATGAATTAGAGCTAGAAGCATGCTTTTATGATTTAAACCACGATTCTGACTACACTAATGAGGAAAAAAGCGTGATTCTATATATGTAGAAGTATGTTTTGGTGATTTAGAAGCATAAAAGCGTAAAACTTTAAAATTTTAATCCGCGATTTTGACTACATTGATTCATGCAATGATTACGTACGTAACGTACCCGAGCATGGATTGTGAGGAAGATTTTGTCGGCCACCGTGGAGAAGCTGGCGCTGACAACTTCGGCGCCTTCTTGCTCGACCACGGTTATCGCTTCGTACATGATGAAGTAGTTCCTCTCCACTCCGTTCCTCATCAGCGAGACCTCTATGCTCGTCCCCAAATCCCTCACCTCAACCTTCGACGACGACGACGACGGTAATGAACCAGCACTACGCATTCCCTCGCCGGCGGGTGGTGGTGACGTGGCGGCCGCTGCTTCTTCCTTCTTCTTCTTGAGCTTCTCGATCCTCCGGCTGAGTTGGCCGATGTAAACCGCCGCCTGCTCCAGTTGCTCCAGTTGCGATAACGCGTACTGATGAAGGTACATATGAAACGTGTTAAATAAAGGGATAATTTTATTTGTTAAGCCGCGCGTTAACCGGAAATACTCACTCGTTGGCAAAGTTGCCCTCTTTCCACGTACTCAATTAAATTTGGGAAAAATCACAATATATGGGTTGGGGAAATTTTTTTTCACATTTTGTAAATTTTTTTTTTCCAAAATACAACCATTTGGAGCAGTTGGCTCCATTGTTAAACGAAATTAGATAGTGGTTTGCTTTACACTGGAGGAGCAATCTATAATCAAAAGGCGCGGATCACAGTGGCGGAGAACAGCAAATAAGTCTTAAAACAATATGGATCGTGGTACATACAAGTGAACAAGACCAGACGGTTGATGATCCCGCGATCTACTCCTAACCTAGGTCGAAACTTTCAACGATCAAAACTTTACGCTCGGTTATCCTATCATAGTAATTTTTTTTTTATTTCGCATAATTATTCGTTATGATAGGATAACCGAGCGCAACTTGACAAACTGTTTCAAGTTTCAAGTTTCAACCTGGTTTGGGTGTAGATCGCAGGGATCCTTGGAGGACTAAATCGTTGTACTCAAAAGTAACCTGAATTGTTCACGGCTCTGTCCAGCAATCCACAAAGATTTGGAGCTCTTCGCTTCATTCGGCTTCGATCCATCCTTATTTGCTCCTTACTCAAGCGAACTAGAGACTAGTACGTACAACGAACTACTCCAAACTTCAGTATTTTAGGAATTTTTTTTGCTTGCCAAGTGTAGTATACCTAGAAAATTTTCCATTGAAGTTACATTGAAATGAACATTACATATGTAAAAAGAGATTTTAAATACCTGGGAGGGTGGGAAGTAATTGGGAGGAATGAGGGAAACGAGGTTGGAGCACAAGCCTTTCATCAGAATCCTGCGGTTCTTCTCCACCGTCTTCCTATCCACCTGCTGTTTCTTGCACTGTTCATCATCGTGATCACTGTTGACAATCTTCTCCATTTCGTAGCCTGCAAAAATAGCCAGATCAAAGAAGAGGAATGGTGCTGATGATAATTGCCTGATCGATCGATCGCCGGCCAAATTTATAGAGGAATTTAATTAGGTTGTTGGATACGTAGTACGGTCTGACTTTCCAAAACGCGACATTGATTCTTCGAAAGACAGCGGGAGACTTGTTGCTTGTAGGTTAATTAAAAGTATTAATCAGTTTCATGGGACCAACTAATTTAACCAACGACACTTTGGTCAATTGGCTAATAAACAATTAACTGGCTTTTGAAAAATGAATAGGCATATGCAGCACACTTTTATATTTATGCCTTGAACTTGGACTTACGGTTTTGGGTATCCTGAATTTGGACGGACAATTAGGATGGAAATGATTCAAGGCATTCTATATATGTAACCAAAAATTAGATAGGTACCTAACGATAAATTTTCAAAAAATTCATGAATTTGCAAATTCAATTAAATATGCATTAAATGAACTAGATTAATAAGATATTTTGGTAGATGAAATGAATTGATGGACTAAATACAAAAGAGGAATTTTACTATGCTCTAAAGCATAGGTGCTTTCGTTTTTCCTGTTGTGGTACAACTTGAAATTGTACTTTTAACGTTATGGTACAATTTTAGGTTGTACCTATACCTTTTTGTAAAATCTCTTTATGGTACAAATTAAAGTTATACTTTTATGTTATGGTACAACTTGACAACTTGAAGATGTACCATAACATAAATGTCAAATTCTCTTATGGTACAACTTCAATTTGTACCTTTAACGTTATGGTACAACTTTAAGTTGTACTTAAAGCACCAATACTTTAAAGTATAGTAGAAGTGCTAATACAAAATTATCACATCTAATAAATTAGTGACATGTTGACTGCCATGTTAACGTTATTTTGAATCATTTAAACTCGTTATTTTGAATCTTTCAAAAAGTTGTTATCTTAAAATTTGGAAGGAAAAAAACCCTTTACCTATTACTTTGAGGATTTCTATTTCAATTACAGTTTTCTTACAAGAACTTCATTTTATTTCTGCTCCTTCAAATAAACTTATCCAAGGATAATAATTATTCACCTATGGATGATTTTACCAAAATTCGAGACAATTCATTGATTATTTATAGGATATGAATATATATATATATGGGCAGTTCTACGGTGCCCAGGGCAAAATCAGGGGTACGGGTAACCGGGGGCAAGGAAAATTATCAAATGCATCACGAAGCGTTTATGGTGACTTCTACGGACTTCAACCTAACTGTACCCGGTTTAATGATAGCGATTAAGAGGTTCAACCCTATGGAGATTGAACCGCCGCCCTAACCAATTTCCAGTCTCCTTTCTACGATCCCTCATTCGCCTTGGAGGGTCCCCTCTAACTCTAAGTTCGAAGTTCGATCATAAGCTGCCTATCAAATCTGAAATCTCCAACAAAATCATCGTTTAGAACCCCAAATCCTTTTATCCACAAATCGACGTTTTGTTCATCGCCATTTTATTTCCGTGCGGAATTTACTCGCCTTACTCTTTCTAACACGATTACGGCGACCATGTCTATTATTGTGTTCATCAAACTTTTCGTTTGCAAAAGAACCCTTGAAAGAGATTTGCTAACCCTAGGGTTCATGTCGCTAGTGCTTTGTCATCTTGTCTTACCGTTATTGTCATTTTCTCGAAACTTCTATCACTCGGTGAAATTAAGGTTTCCTGATATGCAGTGTTCGTCTCGCCCAGAGGATTGAGGAAGGAGATGAAGAAGACCTAATTTGATTCGAATCAGATGGAGAGGTCTCCTTAATTTGTGTTTATGTATTAACGCTGCGTTTAGGACTAATTCTAGTTGGACTGGGTCTGATCATTGATTTTTGCAGGCTTTTAAATAACATTCAAACGTGGGCTTGTACATGGACCCATGACACCTAGTTTATTGATAATAGATACTGAGTTCCGGATTGTCATTAGGCTGGGCCTTTGATAATTGTCTATCTCAGACTCTCAGTGGCGATTCTTTGTTTTACTTATTTTCATCTGCTTCTGCTTCTAAAATCCTGATCATTCATTGAGTTCACGCAATTTAAACATAATTCTGTGTTCCATCTTTTTTGGAATTTGGTAAATGTTAGCGTGTCTCTTTACACATTTAGCGGTACGAGGTAAACTACAATCCGCCCAATTTAACTCTTCATTAATTGAGATCCCATTCCACTCTCTCACCGATTTCCCCTCTTTATGCAATGCACTCGTACATAACAAACCTCTTGTAGACTAATTAGAGGCTTGTGGTTGGATACTGAGTGAGGATATTTTTTGAATTTATGTTTTGAAACGAAAGTTAGAGTTTCACTTTTGAAGTACCTATGTACTTTAGTTGGGCAAGTATTTTCAAAATGTAAAATTTTATCAGCGTATAGGTATACGATTGTTGTATAAGGTGTTGATGTTAGAGGAAATGGGTACTGACTGCTTAGGGTATTAGGTTGTTGATGGTTTAGAGCATATGGTATCGATTGGTTAAAGGGTGAGGGTAGGTGTTGTCTTATTTTTTCTCGATTATATATTTTCTTTATATTTGCTTATAAATGCTGATCATGCCTTATTACTAAGACATAATTCGTTATATCTGCTTATAAATGCTTTATATCTGCTTATAAATGCTGATAATTTATTGTTTGATTTGAACCTGCGTGTTTTTGCTCCGAATGATTTTGTAGTGGCGTGGTAAAGACAATCCGTCCAATTTAACTCTTCATTAATTCCCCCTTTTCTTTTCTGTTTTGGTAGAATAATTACCCCTTTTCCACTCTCTCAGTCCCCGCCGAAGTTGAAACAATCCCCTGTGATATATTTATCGATCATTTTAACCCTTCACTCAATAAGAAAGCGAAATTATGCAAGATGGTCATCAATGTGATGTAGCTTAATTGGTTAATTGTCTCTTATTTGCTTAGTCAATAAAGTAGAGGTTTGTGGTTCGATACTTAGTGAGGTATCAATTTTTAATTTATGTTTTGAAAAGCAAGTTATAATTTTAATTTATCAGCGTATAGGTATACGATATTGTATAAGGTGTTGATGGTTTAGAGTACATGGTATTGGGTTAGTGTATTGATCATCTCCATCCCTAAAATAAGATATTGTATAAGGTTTTGATGGTTTAGAGTATATGGTATTGGGTTAGTGTATTGATCATCTTCATCCCTAAAATTGAACAACAATTTCTAAACGAGGTCCCTACCGCCACATCATCAATTTTAGCAATTCATCACTTAACAATTTCTATTCATCTACATCCCTACATTATGCTAGTAATTGCCAAGGTGGGTTCCATTTTATATTTCAAAGGAAACACTTATTATAAATTGAAAGTTGGGGATGGAGATAGAAGAAGGTGTTGTTGGTATACAGTATAAGGTCTTGAAGGTTATGGACGTATAAGGGAAGGAGCAAGGTGTTGATGGTTTAAAGTATATATGTTATTGATTGGTTACGGTATAAGCCTATAAGGTGTTCTTATTGTTGTAGAGTATATGATATTGATTGGTTCGTGTATTAGGGTTTGGTTTAGGGTTTAGGGTTTAGGGTTTAGGGTTTCAAGTTAGAATAACATAAACCAGATCAATAGAGTAATGTTGGTAAACGAAAAAGTTAGTTAATCTACAAATTCAGACTATTTAAAAAAGTACATCCCCATTTCCCACCGTCAATTCCTAAACTTTTCCCTTGATCCGATGGTGAAATACCTTCGATCCTCGTCGCGTGCATGTCACCCAATCAGATATTGCCGAATTCGGAAAGTCGCTTTTGCCCATAACCAATGCTGGCGTTACCAAGGCCGAGGCAGTGGTAGGGACTGTAATTTTCAGTAAATGTGAAGGGAGGGAAAGTAAAAGTAATTACGAGTCAATCTTTAAATTCGTTAATAGGCCGTGCTCCGATCCTTGAAAAGAACCCTTTCTTCCATCTTCTCAATATGAGACTCCGAAAACCATCTCCTGCTGCTGTTCGTTCCTCCTCCTCTCAATCCCTGAAAAGAACCCTTTCTTCCATCTTCTCAATATGAAACCCCGAAAATCAACTCCATCCGCCTCTCGTCCTCCTATCCCATGCTTTATTTTCGGGTGCAGTGGTAATGATGAGACTGCGTATTATTTTAGATCTCAGTTCCTTTAGTTATGTAATTGTTATGACTGTTAAACTAAATCCTTCGTTGTATTGTTTCTCCTTTTCTCTCCATGCAGGGTCTTTGTTAGAGGCAGGGAGGGGAGCAATGACAATAAGTCGCCGTCTGAATATAGCCAGAAGAATCATCACATGTTGTTGCGATTCCATAATAGGTGTTGTGGAACCCTACTTCATGTGATGATTCTTCTGCGCCATATTGACGCGTACTTGTTGATCATGCTCCCAAAATGTATACAAGATAGGAAAGTTGCCATATGTATAATAGGATAAAATAGTTACGGAAAGTACAGCTTTTTGTTTTTGTTCGACTCTATGTAACATTTGTTTATGTTTGTATACTGTTTTGTGATTTTTTCTTCTCCTTCTCTCTTCGCTTCCATGGCGGCTTCCAAAAGTGTTTGAGATCTTCTAAATATGCGAGGGATCCTCCACTCCCAATAAAAATACTGTACTTTGTACTATTAGCGTTTGAGATCTTCTAAATCTGCAGGGGATCCTACACTCCCAATAAAAATACTGTACTTTGTACTTTAGCGTTTGAGATCTTCTAAAATCTGGAGGGGATCCTACAGTCCCAATAAAAATACTGTACTTTATCTGTTGACTACTGACTCCATTTTTAGAAGTCTTTACGATTGGGCCAACCGGATTTTTTGCCGGATTTCGAACTCTGCTCCTCTGTAGCCACATGCTCTACACATTTAATGAGTG